ATATATCCAGCGGTTAAGAATCGAGTAAATTTAAGATGCTTAATTTTTATTCATCTTTGTGAACTTTGAGTTTTTGCACCTAGAACAGTGTGAAAGCCATATAGCCTATGAGTTAGCTGTAGTTGTGAGGCTCGAGATAGAAATTGGAACTGATGATCTGAGCATTTTGATCAAGTCTTAATTCTTATGTTGCCCGTCTGTAGAGCATAGCGCCCTTAATCTAACTGGTATGTTAAGACCTGAGTAGAAATTACAGATTATGTATTAATATACTACTATTACTGTTATAAAGTAGAACTAAGACATTGTATTGAAAATCCACTAAGTGTAGCGAGTATATTTGTGAATTATATAGATTATATAAAGCTAAAAAAATTAAATACAATAAATGTTTAAATTATTTACAAGATTTATTTCACATTATTAATTTTATTTTTAAAACACGATTTGATAAAATTATTTTGAAGTGTATGATTGTCTCAAAAACGTCATAATTTTTTCATGGTCATTGCCAGCTTTTTGATTTAATTAACGATGTATTATTTTGTATCTTTCTACTATGAATCAGTATCAACAGAATAATTCTCAACGTCTCTATTCGAGACAAGACAAGTTAAGATATTTATTTTTTATTTTTTTTTTTTTTTTTTATTATACAATATTATTTTTTATTTCGTTCAAAGATTTTGTAGAACAAAGGAAGGGAGCATATAAAAGCTAAAAAATACTCATGTATGAAAAGCAAAAGCAATAAAAATAGACAATAAACACACTTAAAAATAATTATTAATTGCAATAAAGTGAGTCTGCGAGTTGGAAGAAGTGCGTCTTGGCAACGCACAATGGAATTGCCATAGGAGCAGCAATTTGAAGTCTAGAAAAAAGTTTCTTAAGTTGAAGTGCGTCAACTCAAGTGTTGGAGTCTTTTTTTTTACCTTTCATTAATTTTTTATCTATTATTTTGGATTTGTTATTTTTGCTGCGAGAAGCGTTGAGTTAAGTTCGCCTAAGTGGTTTGGTTGTTGTATTTCGTAGTTCCGGAAACTGAGTTGCCGGCTAACGTAGCTGATATCATTTAATTTTCAAACGATTTAGATAGGTTAAGTTTTCGTTAAATATCCGCATTTTGGCGTCATCATTTTCAGTTTGCCAAGAGCAATATTTAAAATAATAAAAATTTAATTGAAACTTTATGGTGATTGTCCATGTTTTGAAATATAGACAAGTTGTGGATGATAGCAAATGTAAATTCAGTTATTTAGTGCTACTATATATTCAACTCACTCTTTATACTCGTATATTAAATGATTTTCATAATTATTTAAATCAAAAATTTTATGAGTTTAATTTAAACAAGTTTAATTAAGAAATCAGATATACATAAAGCCTATACCTAAAGATAAAAATAGTCAAAATACAGAGTGATAAAGCTAGAATATAAAGCTCACATGTAAATATTACAGTGAACATACTAAGAGGTGAGAATTATATACCAACAGAGAGAAGATCGTATATTCGTCTATATACGATATATATTATCACAGATGTAAATATTATCCCATTGCAATTGATTATTGATCGTGTAAGCAGGGAATGGGATTTTGATATTCAATATGAAAAATAGTATCACCAAATTAGTGAATCGATCATGTAACATCTAAGCAGAAATAAGTCGTGTACTGATTTTGTATTACCTCTAACTTTTTGTAGAGTTTTAAAGAAGCCCACAATACTGAACTTAAAGAAAAAATATAAAATGATAGAGAGTTATGATAGAGAATAAGAACTGATTAGGAAAGTTTTATTTACGATAATAATTGATCACCTTGTTATAGTCTATCTTTTACTATGAAGGAGGGACCACTACTATAAATAAGTGACCACTACTATGTTATAAAGAAGTGACTATTACTATAAAGAAGTGACTGCTACTTTGACGAAGTTACTTCCACTATCGTGGACTGACCACTGCTATGAAGGAGTAACTACTACTATGACAGAGAGATCACTACTATCAAGGAGTGACCACTGCTATGAAGAAGTAATAACTACTATGAAAGAGTGACTACAGCTATTAAGGAGTAATCATTACTATATAGGAGTGATTATTGCTATGAAAGAATGAACACTATTATTTAAAAATTACCATTACTATGAAAGAGTGACCACTTCTATGAAAGAGTGATCACTACTACGAAAGAGTGACCACTATTATGAAAGAGTGGCTACTACTATAAAAGATTGACCATTATTTCGATGTAGTGAAGGTACTAAATGATATTTTTATTAACCATTTATAACATCATTTAACCTGCTTTTTAGTTTTGTTATTGTTAGTTTTAAATTTGAAATATAGTTAATCCGAATGAGTATCTCAAATAAAAATGAATGAGGTCCGCTCATTCATTTTGAATTGCCAGGTATTTCCCGCCGAGAACCGAGAACTTACAGAGAACCCGAGAGCCCAGAGAAAAGAAATATTGAACAGCATTGTCATTTCTTTAAGTTATATTCAACAATTTTCTTAAAAGTGATTAAAATTGCACTTAAGAACTTTAAAGGCTTTTTCAGTTTATTTGAGAAAACTGCACTGCCTAATTGGCTACCTATTTTATAGTCTTCAGTATATGTAGTTAAACTTATTTCTAATGAGGAATCTCTCGACAGCTAACTACACTGTGTGTTAATATTTGAAGGACTGAGCCATGTTGGTTAATAGCATAGATGGAAAACTTGCTGAAATGAGCTGAGTTTACTTTATTTTGTTGTAAAAGTCTGTTTGCCTTTTAAGAACACCACGTTTTGACCATGCTAGACAATCACATTTGAATAGTCTTTTTCCATAGAATTCATCAACTAAATAGCGACCGATAATGGCTGTTACTTCCTCTAAGTGAACACCAGTATGAGTGTCGTATTGTTTTTCATGTATGAAAGGTGGCGGTAACCACCAGGAGTCTGTAACCATTC